GGCTTGGCATGACCTAGGCTTGGCATGACCTAGGCTTGGCATGACCTAGGCTTGGCATGACCTAGGCTTGGCATGACCTAGGCTTGGCATGACCTAGGCTTGGCATGACCTAGGCTTGGCATGACCTAGGCTTGGCATGACCTAGGCTTGGCATGACCTAGGCTTGGCATGACCTAGGCTTGGCATGACCTAGGCTTGGCATGACCTAGGCTTGGCATGACCTAGGCTTGGCATGACCTAGGCTTGGCATGACCTAGGCTTAACATGACCTAGGCTTGGCATGACCTAGGCTTGGCATGACCTAGGCTTAACATGACCTAGGCTTGGCATAGCAAGAAGGAACAAAGTATGCATACAATACTTAGGGAAAACATGATAGCATCAAGACAAGACAAGAACCTTTACCTAGGCAAAACAAGTCCAAGTCTACAAATGCAAGCTTAACATGACAAAATCATGCAATGTACATGAACATGACTAAGACATGAATGTGGGTTATTACAACTCTGTTGTGAATGTTCCTATCATTGCACATTGATGTGGATGCTCACATCAGTGTCCACTAAAATGAATGTTTGTGTCAATATACACTGATGTGCATGTTCACATCAATAATGTCAACCTTGACATCATTGCCTACCAATGTGCGTGCTATATTTATCTTGGTGCCAACATGAGCAAAACACTGGTGTCAATATTTACATTAGATCATTTTATTATGAATGTTCCCACCATTACATACTGTTTTGAACATTCACATCAGTTTGTATTGATGCCAACATTCACACTAGTGTCTACCGATGTGTGTGTCACATTTGTTTTGTTACAAACAGGAGTGAATAGACTCTATGAATGTTCATATTACATCTATATAATAAGATTTATGGGATTTACCATTAACAACATAACACATCCGATGGCTCGTCCTGGTTTTCCCCAGTTTTAGCCCACTGAGCCCATGAGAGTTGCCCGGATGCTCTCAGCCCAGTCATAGTCGATCATCTTGTCTAATGGGTCCATGTATAAACATAATGCCCATCCAATTGTTTCTCCGGACGTGGAAAAGAATAGTTTCACCCATGCATACATGCAAACTAATCTTGCAACCTCTTTGTTGTCTTGTTTCTTTGTGCCATTTAATGCTTTATTCAAAATTTCATGTATTTTGCTGCACTTAACCGACTGATATCATTGCACGTTCGATGTATGATGCCGGTCGTTGGTTTAACGCCACAAGAGAGGTCCATCGGCATGGTGCTGCAGTCAGTGAGTACGAGTGCATACCTCTTCCTTATTGACTCTGGAACCTGATACTTAAAAAAATCCTCAATACCATAAAGAGCTAATCCGTCCATGATTCCCATCAGTACAAACTGTGGAGAGATCCAAAATACAGATATTGTTGCAATGGCTTCGGGATTACCTAACAAGTCATGTTTTTTCAAAGCTTTTAGCCTTTTATACTCCACCCACCGAGCAACATTACAACAAGCCAAAGCTACAAGCATTCCTAAACCAACCTTCATTCAAGCTAAGTATCTCCCATTCATTCGCTCTATTCGTCGTTCAAATACTATCCTATAGAGAGGTTGCACTGCACACTATGAAGCACGACCACCTCTCCGAGGGCTCCGTACCAGTGTTAGACACGTGTCAGACACGGACACGCGACAGGCACGCGGAGAGCACGTGTCCGACACGCACCAGAGAGTGTCCCATTTTTATTCTTATTTTTTTTATATCCGGACACGTTCAGGACATGTTATAGAAACTTTCGGGACATGTTCGGGGGTAATTTCAGAAATTACAAAAAAAATTTGGGGTCGATTTGTAAATAAGTAAAAATTGATCAATATCTGCCCTAATCTACTTGGATTAGAACAGAAACGGAAGAGAAAGGGTGAGAAAGAGAGGACCGGGTCTATTCGTCGTTCGTCGTTCGTCTTCACTTCTCGTCTGTCGCCGTTCCTCGTCGATCGTCACTCGTCACTCGTGCCTCGTCGTCCCTCATTAAGGTACACGCTGCTCTTCTTCGATCTTCATTCTTCTTCTTGTCTCGTCGTCACTTATTTTTACATTGATATTTCATTAGAGGTTAAAAAATACATATGTATTAACTATAGCGGAATGGAGCAGTTCAGTTGACGAATTATAAATTTTAAAGTTTAAACCGCGGTTAGTGGTTAGAGCGGTGTGGATTGATGCAGATCGGTGCGGTTTTAGTGGATTGGGCGATATTTTGCATAGGCGTAACTATACTCAACCCCTTCTCATCTCATGACCTTTTACTTTGTTCCAATAACCTTTTAATATTTGCCATTTCTTTTTTAAGTAAGGTAGTCTTTAACAAATTATATTCAAGAGGGACATGCCCAATAATTTGATTCTCAGCAGCATATTGAAATGCACCCACAAAATATAGATTCCTAGCCAAATGGAAAGGCAAACCAGCTGAATAGAACATACGAGCAATTAAAGAATATAAATGTTCTCTGGCACTTTAATTGAATGCTTTATTTAAAGGACTACTCCCAATTGTTTTTCTTTTTCTTAGTTCATAACCTTCTATTCTAAATGTTCCAACATCTCCTACCCTGTCGTGGCTAGTACTAATTTGGAAAGATGAAGGTCGTAAAGGAACATTTTTAGGCTTTGCCATCTTTTTCAGATTCTCAACTTCTTGATCTGCCTTTCGAATTCCAGAAAGAAGATCACTCTTGTCCTTCACAATTGCGCACACTCTAATTCCATGGCTAGTAAGTAGCAACAAATGGGCTTTAACTCTAGAATATGACCCTTGGTACTCAATGTTACAAAAATTATACTTAAATTTTGTATTACCACTTCCTCCTTCCCCCCTCTTGACTAATTTTGTAACGTAGCCCCAAAAAGGAGCATTTTCATCTCCAGATTGATCGATGAAAGGAGCAAAAGAAGCACTTGCAGATGAACCTAAACTGCTTGATGAACTCATTTTCCTATAATATAAAACCATTAAGCATTAAACATAATATTTGTGAAATCTCTCACTTTGACATGTTATGCACTGTGATCATAATTTATTTTTAAAATCTTTCTTTTTGCTCATCAACTTGCTATTTTTGTAGGGTGAGACCAAAGAAATAACAGGAGACCAAAGAAAGATTTCATAAAGACAGCAGATGAAGAACAACAACGATTAACATTACACAAAAAAGCACTTGAATTAAGTCAAAATGAAGATAATACTCTACTACATTTACACAGATCAATAATCTCATCCATCAATGCAAGCTTAGCTAAGAATTGAAGAGAGAAATTGAAAGGTCTTACATGAAATCAATATTGGGCTCAAGAGAACAACGCTGATATCTGCAAAAGAGAAAATAGAGGGGTCTTGGCTGAAGAGAACAACGCTGATATCTACAAAAGAAATAACAGAACAAAATTGCTGATCTGCAGGGGCACCAAAAAAAAAAAAAAAGAGATGAAGAACACTCATTGAAGGGAAAACGAAGAAAGGAACAAAGAAAATGAAAACCAGTTGCAGATCTGTAGAAAAAAAAAATGTAAAAACGAAGAAGAAGAAGAATAAACGAATAAGACGAAGACGAAGAAGAAGATGAAGAACACTCGCCGGAGGGCTTCGTCTCGTTGCGTCGCCGTCACTGGAGGGCTTCGAAGTGAAGAGATGTTGCTGAAGAAGACTGCGCCGTTTCTCTTCGCTGTTGCTAAAGTGAAGAGATGCAAGAAGGGACAAAATCTAGGTGTTATATATTCTTAATATTACAAAATAACACTGTATTTTTTTTTTTTTGATAAAGAACATAAATAAATTGCTCCAGTACCCCTAATTGTCTTACAAATTAGATTTTTTGCCCCCGCGTACCCGAAACGTACCAATGGCATACCTATGTCGTGCCCATGACGCACCTGATTGAACCAAACGTACCGAACCCCCTTCATAGGATCTTAGCATCCTCCACAAGTCCTTTGAATGGAAATTTGTCATTTGGATCTGCTTCCATCAACTGCACCACTTGCTCTGCATCTATCTCAATAATCACATTGTGCATACCTTTTTGAAGATGATTGTTAACCCTTTGTAGAGAGCCATTGTGAAATTTGCCATAGTAACCATACACCCAAGCTTCTCTTTCATCTCTGAAGAGTCCACCAAATCCCTCTCCACCTCCAAGCTTCCTGTTGCCATCAATGTTAAGCTTGATTTTCCCTGCAGGTGGCAAATTCCATTTAGTTAGTTTAAAAGTTGGTTTATGCATTAAAATAGTCATGTTAAACGCTTGATTGATCTCTCTAGAATAATCCAAAATATGATTAACACTTTCTTGGCAACTAGTCACAAAGTTTTCAAAAATAAAGAGATTTCTATTTTTCCAAATTTTCCACAAAGCCACAATCACTACAACAAAATGCACTTTTGGCGATTAAATTTGACGGCTAAAAAAATTTAGTCGCCAAAAATTGTGGAATTGGCGACCAAATTTTTTTTTAGTCGGTAAATGTACAATATTTAGCTTCTAATTTTTTTTAGTCGGGGTATATTGATTATTGGTAACTAAAAAAAAATTTAGTTGCCAAAAATGCTACAATTGGCTACTAAAAAATGTTTTAGTCGTTGTATGATTTGTTTTGGCTACTAAAATTAGTTAGTTGCCGAATAAAAAATAAAAATTTAATTTTTATCTTTGGCGACTAAATTTTTGGTGGCCAAAAGTGTGTTTTCAATAACTAAAATTTTTTTTAGTCGCTGTATGATTAGTTTTGGCTACTAAAATTATTTAGTTACCGAATGTAAAATAAAATTTTAATTTTTATCTTTGACGACCAAACTTTTGGTCGGCAAAAGTGTGTTTTCAGCGACTAAAAAATTTTTTAGTCGCAAAAAAACTAAAATATTTAGAGGGACATATTTCAAATTTTGGAGGGATTTATCAAATTAATTGGCGACTAACAAATTTTTGATCGCTAATCGTGTAAAATGATATATATTTTGAGCGCCTCTGTCTCTCTCTTTATTTCCAGCCTCTCTCTCTCTCTCTCTTTTTCTCTTCTCTTCACGTATGGTGGATCTCTCTCATCACCCATAATCTTCTTGAAGGTGTTGTAGTACAGAGAAAGAGATGGGTGTTGTTTTCACCACCCATAATCTTCTTCAACATCAGTCTGCTGCCATAGCAACTCCGCGACTGTCCCCCACCATTGAAGAGGAAGATCAGCAAACAGCAAAAACCCAATGCAACATTGACACCCACCCTCGCTCTTCGCTACCGACGCTGAATTCCCTAAATCAGAGGTATTTTTCTTCAGTTCTTTGTACTCTGAATTCCCCAAATCAGAGCTTTTTTGGACTTGCAATTCAGTAACGATTGAACTGTATTATTGTATACGTACATACACAGTTGATGAGATATATATCTATGATGAGAAAAAGCAAAGGGAGTGGTCTGATTTTTTGTTCTATTGTGTTTGCTTGATGGGAAATTGTCTTTGCCTCCCTGTTTTTGAGTTTGGTTTGTGCTGATACATGTGTGGTTTGCCATGAATTTCTGCTTCTGCTCACCAACTGTTTGATGCAATGCCTAAATGAAAAATTCATCACAGACCAAATTATCTGTCCTCTTTTATTTTGATTAGTGATATCTGTCGTTTGTTTTCCGTCTTCATGAACTAATTTAAATTCTGGTACAAATCTCTATGACAAGGTCATAATCTCCTTTGGTTTCTAATATTTTTTAAGGATCAAAATTCACAATTAGTCATGATAGTCAGCGTGAAATACACTTAAACACCTAGCTGGTAACATATATATGTTTTATTAAAAAAAAAATTATTTTCCTTTTAAGATTTGTAAAAACAGTTTCATTATGAAATTCTGTTCATGCATGTCTTTGTAACAGGTTTACTGATTTAGGATGGAGAAATTGGGGCATCAGAGGCTAACATGTTTGCTTGTGGCATGGTTGACATTGCTTGTTCAAATCTTCTTCATTCACGCTGCAGATTGTAGTCAACATAATGGGTGAGAAACTAAAAGAAGCTTTTTATTGTGAATTTTCTTTCACTGCTTTTCTATTGGCTTTATTATGATAATCTCTTATATTGTTTCCTAACTTCAGTTACAATGTTTGACCATTAAAACCGTAGATTAATTGTTGCAAAGTTTACAAGTGAAACAGCTACAAGTGGTTTATGAAGCCTGGCTGTGTTAAATGTAACGGAAGGTGTTGCCTTTGGTCGTTCACTTTGATGCCACTTATGGTAAACCATAAGTGTCTTCTTTTTTTTTTGGTTTGATCGGCAAAAAAAATCCTTTATTGATGAATAAAGAAATCATTACACTTATTGATGAACCATAAGTGTCTTGATGCATTAAGAATTGATACACCTAATAAACAGGATTAGTGAGAACACAAAACACAAACATAAATAAGAATAAGAAACAAAGATCAAATATAAATGAACACACAAAATTTACATGATTCTTTCCAAAAACTAGTTGTGGTTTGTAATATGACCAGAAAGTTATAATATCTAGAGCTAGTCTTTTCTCCCTTGAATTATAAGTACATAGAAATTAGGGCAACATGTGTGTAAAAATATCAAAATATCCTTACTCTAAAATTCGGGATCAAATGATTAGTATTCAATCCTTATCAGGATCCACACCACCCTAAAATGATGCTCCAGCTAGTTGCGGCTTACCCTTTAATGAACCTTATCATTATTTTTATAACTGGTTATTATATGCTAACGTCTGGATAATATGAATGCATTTGACCAAAAAAATTATTCTCAAATTTGTTATAGGACCCTTACATACTTTGCTGGGACATACGCAAACATAGTTCTACATTTTCCAGTGTGTGTTGCTTTAAATGGCTTGTTCTTTCTGTTCATGCAAATTTTGGATTACCCTCTTTAATCACTAAATTTAAAGAAGGGCTTTGACTGATTGTTTTGCCTGTGTTCATCTTGTAATTAGGCTGTATCGATCTTCAGAAAATATCAATCAGCAGATACTGTTTGATATTGATCCTTTTGGTCAGCATCTTGGTATAGGCAGTGAGGTATTATTCTTGTGTTCATCCTCGTCCCTTTTCCAAGTATGATGCTAATAAGTTCAATGCCTTAATGGTCTTGCATTCTTTGCCTTAATTTTCTGGCTTTTGGTATGATGGAAATAGGGATAGCAAATATGGAGATCATTAAAATGCAGGGAAACAATATATGTGAGTATAGGGTCACAGTAGCTAAACAAAAAGTAGATTACAGCAAGTCATTCAAAAGCAGGGGGGGAAAAAACAAAGGGTGTACTTCCTCCAAATTAATCCTGGTAAAGTTCCAACTGGTGAATGTAGAATTAGAAGGGGAGAGAGAGAGAGAGAGAGAAGTCTAAAAGATGAAATTGTGAGTGGAAAAAACTAACATAGGATGGTAACTTAAATTCTAGAATTCGGGGAATAGATCAAGTCCTCAAAAAGAATGGTAACATAATATAAGGTCATTATCATAGAAACATGATACAATTCTGTCATTATACCCATGAATCTTCACAAGGATCACAACCATTTGTTTGGAAGGGCTGAGAAGTTATTGGCCTATAGATCCAAGGTTAGTGTTGAATATATTTTTAATTTAATAGGTTGAGTTCTCTATGAGTTTTGGCAGCATTTACAGATTTTAGAGTTAAGATCCAAGCTACTTCTAGGTTTTGATGTTGATCTTTGCAATGAAGAAAATACATATTGAATATGTAGTGAATCATACTTCTCAACCTGTTGATGCCATCTTATAAAAGCATATGTAGACAACATGCAAAATCATTTGTTCTCTTATCATGGAGATACTTAAATTGTGCCTCTAGTGGTTGCCAACCACAGTAAAGTTGTGACCAAAATCCTACTATGAGATGCATTGTCGAGTTAATCTTTTGGATGTCAATGTTGCTTGTGTCAATATCATTGAGGCATCTTTATTAATTTTTTTTAGATACCAGTATTTAGAATTTCATTCACGGTCACAAGTAAACGATAATTTTTAAATCACTTGCTGCTGATATGTCTGATTCATCTACAAAATATTTGGAGTCATGCATGTTGTTGGTCTTTTTAAGGGTGGGTCTTCTTGTTTCATTTCATCCTCCTCTTCGTTGTATATAAATATAAACTTATTTCTGTATTTATATTTATACCTTCTTGGAGAGACACTTATGCATAGTTAACTGCTTTAAAAATGACTAGGTTCAGATACATGCATAGTTAACTGCTTTAAAAACCTAGAATTCTGTAAGAGTTGAGTTTTAATGACTAGGACCTAACATTCCCTTTGCCAACATGCAAGACAGCTGATCTCTCCACTCATGTATCTGAACGTCGCGAGAAAAACTTGTTTTTGCAAAGTTTATACAAAGAGGAGCAGGAGAAATCATATATGACAAATGATAACAACAACGGGAAGCATGCTTTTCATAGTGACATTCAAGATAAGGATATAGTTGAAGCTCTAGAAAATGAGGTTCAATATTAGACAGACTTTTCGAAAGTTCACTATGATCCCCGGAGTCTATACGAATATAATGGTTTTCGTATGATTCTCTATTTTGTATGGAATTATTATTTTAGATTGGAATATACTTAGTTTGTATGGAATTTGACATTAAAAGTTATTCCTTTTTGGATGGTTGAAAGTGAAATGGATGTAAATTGCGAAATGATTGATAATATATATTGTTTTGTTTATATACATGGTATAGGTTGCATGAAATACGTACAGGTTATGGACAAACACTACAAGAAAATACAGTTTTGGCGACTACTTTTGCCGACTAAAAATATTTTAGTTGCCAAAAGTTGTCGAATTGGCGACCAAAAATTATGTTAGTCGGTAAAAGTACAATATTTAGCTACTAAATTTTTTTAGTCTGGGTATATTAATTTTTGGCAATTAAAAAAAATTTTAGTCGCTAAAAATCTCACAATTGGCGACTAAAAAAAATTTAGTCGCTACATTTGCCACAATTGGCGACTAAAAAAATATTTTAGTCGCTGTATAGATAGTTTTGGCAACTAAAATAATTTAGTCGCTGAAAGAAACATAAAAATTTACTTTTTATCTTTGGCGACCAAAATTTTGGTGGCAAAAATGTAATTTCAGCGATTAAAAAATATTTTAGTCGCTGTATAGATAGTTTTGGCAACTAAAATAATTTAGTCGCTGAATGAAAAATAAAAATTTATTTTTTATCTTTGACGACCAAAAGTTTGGTCGGCAAAAATTTAATTTCAGCGACTAAAAAATATTTTGGTCGCTATATTTATAGTTTTGGCAACTAAAATAATTTAGTCACTGAATGAGAAATAAAAATTTTCTTCTTATCTTTGGCGACCAAAATTTTGATCGGCAAAAATTTAATTTCAGCGACTAAAAAATATTTTAGTCGCGGTATAGATAGTTTTGGTAACTAAAATAATTTAGTCGCTGAATGAAAAATAAAAATTTATCTTTTATCTTAGGCGACCAAAAGTTTGGTCGGCAAAAATTTAATTTCAGCGACTAAAAAATATTTTGGTTGTTGTATATATAGTTTTGGCAACTAAAATAATTTAGTCGCTGAAAGAAACATAAAAAATTTCTTCTTATCTTTGGCGACCAAAATTTTGGTCGGCAAAAATTTAATTTCAGTGACTAAAAAATATTTTAGTCGCGGTATAGATAGTTTTGGCAACTAAAATAATTTTGTCGCTGAATGAAAAATAAAAATTTGTTTTTTATCTTTGGCGACCAAAAGTTTGGTCGGCAAAAATTTAATTTCAGCGACTAAAAAATATTTTAGTCGCGGTATAGATAGTTTTTGCAACTAAAATAATTTAGTCGCTCAATGAAAAATAAAAATTTGATTTTTATCTTTGGCGACCAAAATTTTGGTCGGCGAAAATTTAATTTCAACAACTAAAAAATATTTTGATCGCTGTATAGATAGTTTTGGCAACTAAAATAATTTAGTCGCTAAAAGAAAAAGAAAAATTTACTTTTTATCTTTGGCGACCAAAATTTTTGTCAGCAAAAATTTAATTTCAGCGACTAAAAAATATTTTGGTCACTGTATAGATAGTTTTGGCAACTAAAATAATTTAGTTGCTGAAAGAAAAATAAAAATTTACTTTTTATCTTTGGCGACCAAAACTTTGGTCGGCAAAAATTTAATTTCAGCGACTAAAAAATATTTTAGTCGCGGTATAGATAGTTTTGGCAACTAAAATAATTCAGTCGCTGAATGAAAAATAAAATTTGTTTTTTATCTTTGGGGACCAAAAGTTTGGCCCGCAAAAATTTAATTTCAGTGACTAAAAAAGATTTTAGTCGCTGTATAGATAGTTTTGGCAACTAAAATAATTTAGTCGCTGAAAGAAAAATAAAAATTTATTTTTTATCTTTGGCGACCAAAAGTTTGGTGGGCAAAAATTTAATTTCAGCGACTAAAAAATATTTTAGTCGCGGTATATATAGTTTTGGCAACTAAAATAATTTAGTCGCTGAAAGAGAAAGAAAAATAAAAATTTACTTTCACTGATCACTCTTTCTCTCTCTTTCTGTCTGTCTGTCTCTCTTTCTCTCTGTGTCTTTGACTCTATCTCTCTTCTCTTTCTCTCTCTCACTCATTACTCTTTTCTGTCTGTCTGTTTGTCTCTCTCTTTCTCTCTGTGTCTCTGTTTTTTGTCTCTGTCTCTCTTCTCTTTCTCTTTCTCTTTCTTTCTCTCACTCATCACTCTTCTCTGTCTGTCTGTCTCTCTCTGTGTGTCTCTTGCTCATCTCTCTTCTTTCTATCTCTCTCATCTCTCTTCTCTTTATCTCTCTCGCTTCTCGCTCATCTCTTTCTGTATCTCTCTCGTTTATCTCTTTTCGCTCTTTCTCTCTCTTTGTCTGTCTCTTTTCACCCATTTTTTCATATTCCTCTCTCTTCTTTTTCTCTCTCTTACTCATCACTCTTCTCTGTCTGTCTGTCTGTCTGTCTCTCTCTCTGTCTTTCACTCATCTATTTTCTCTCTCTGTCTCTTTCGTTCATCTATCTTCTCTCTATCTCTCTTGCTCATCTCTCTTCTCTCTCTGTCGCTCTCGTTCATCTCTCTTCTCTCTCTATCTCTCTGTCTCTCTTGTTCATCTCTCTTCTCTCTATGTCTCTCTCGCACATCTCTCTTCTCCCTATCTCTCTCTCTGTCTCTCTCGTTCATCTCTCCTCTCTCTTTGTCTCTTTTTCTGTCTCTCACGCTCTATCTCTTTCTCTTTTTGTCTCTCTCTGTCTCTCTTCTTTTTCTGTCTCTCACTCATCACTCTTCTCTGTCTGTCTGTCTTTGTCTCTGTCTCTTTTTCTCTTTGTCTCTCGCTCATCTCTCTTCTTCCTATCTCTCTTATCTTTTTTCTTTCTCTATCTCTCTCACTCATCTCTCTTCTCTCTATCTCTCTCTGTCTCTCCCGCTCATCTTTCTTCTCTCTTTATCTCTCTCTTTTTTTATGTCTTTCTCTCTCTCTTTGTCTATCTCTCACTCATCTCTTGTTTCTCTCTGTCTCAGTCTCTATCTTTTTTCTCTTTGTCTCTCTTTATCTCTTTCTCTCTCTCTTTCACTCATCACTCTTCTCTCTCTCTTTCTCTCTCTATGTCTGTCTGTCTCTCTCTCACTCTTCTCTCTCTCTTTCTCTCTGTGTGTCTGTCTGTCTGTCTCTCTCCCCTATTGTGTTCACTTTGCTCACTCTCTCCCGTCCCTCTTCTCTATTTACCGAGCTCTTCACTACAAGAAAATGCACTTTTAGCGACCACTTTGTCTCTCTCTCGCTCATCACTCTGTCTTTCTCTCTCTCTATCTGTCTCTCACTCATCTCTCTCTTACCACCCATCTCCTCTACCACATTCACTACTACTGCAAATGTCATTCCACTACCAGCATTATTACCATTGTTGCCACTCCACCTCTACGACTACCATTACTACCACCATCGTTACCACTCCACTACCACTACCACTACCACTACCACCACCACTACTACTACTATTACCTCTCCTTTACCAATGCCACTTCATCTCCTCTACCACTACCACAATTTCACCACTAATCTCCTTCGCCATCACCACCACCACCACCATCACCTCTTATTCACCACCTTCACCACTATTGTCGCTCCCTCTCCTCTACCACAAAAAATTAGCTCTTGATTTTTAGTAATAAAAAAAAAATAGGCCACAAAAAAAAAAATTCATGGACCATAAAAAATTAATTTTATTTTAACAAAAAATATTTTTCATTAAAATATTACCTCTACTTCTACCAAAGTAAAAAAATAAGAATAATTTTTTATTCATTAAAATAAAAATGAAACAAATA